TGTCCGAATTAAGGAAAAAGTGAATTTATTAACTTTAATGTCTTGAAAAAATCAAATACACATTCTTTGTTAGGTTTTGGGTGAATCTTTTAAGCTCCCAGAAATAAAAAAAAGTCATAGACCGCCGAAACTCAGAGCCTTTCCAAAATGCATATGCAGGGAACATTTACAAAGAAAACTAAACATACTTACTTAACTAAGCATATAAACGTAACGTACCTCAACAGCCTTTATGACGTCTTGGGCAGTCACATCATCATGTCGTCTCAAATTGTGGTTCTTGAAAAACCTTTTCAGCGTAGAGCAACTACATGTATCATTAATTAATAAACAATAAGAACTACCGTCCATATTCCTGGATTGCACCGTCACGAAAGGGGCAGCAATATATACAATTGAGAAATAATAACAATAATGACTGTTTGTTAAGACTCATTGCAGCAATATACAGAATGGCTGAATTACAGAGCTATTTACAAAACATACAATACTAAAATATAATACAATAAATCCAGTAAATACTAGAAAATATAATTGTACAAGCCACTAGGTATACTTATGCGTGACAAACTCTTGCGTGGGCTTGGTCCTACAGGTAGGACGCGTGGAGCGGCTAGTGCCAGATCTAAGATTATAAGTATGCACAACCTCCTGCTGTTTGGGGAGCATAAAATGCAAGGGGTGATTCTCATTCCGGAGTCTATCAATATAAACCTGGCATAGATGGGCGCGTCTGTCACTTTTAAATTAAGGGCATTTAATGCCTCGTTGTAACTCATTAAAGGAAAAATGTTGCGCATAGGCCTTTTCTGAATGCTCTCAATCTTATAAGATAGAAAATCTGGTATATTTTGCCATACAGGGGCAGCATATTCTAGAACAGGACGAACAATGGTTGTATAAACCTTAGCCAGTGAAGCTGGAGGTGCACCACATTGCTTAAGGACCCTTAAAGAGTAAAGCTGACCTTTGCCCTTCTACTACTGAATTTGTGTTTCTTGATTGGAGACAGTACATAGGGTAGAACATCTAAAGGGACTGTTTAGGAAGCACAGTATAAACTCACCGAACCAAAATTTAGGGTGCTTTTTCGTGGCTGGCAAGTTATAATATCCGAGACAGCGAATGAGGAGCGTTTGGTGACGAGTGATACCCATGCTTAAGTGAAAAACTGGGATAAATTCCACTTTAAAGGCTTACCTCCACTGCAATCCAAACTTTTCATTGAGATATAACAAAATCAGCTTATTAGTCTTATTTTTTCTCAAGAGTTCTCTTAAGAATAAAACAACCATGTCCACGTCGACATCCATGACAAGCAAGAGTTATGTAGTCAGCCAGAGGTAACTCCCGCTGTGTGGTCGTCGATTGCAATCACCATCGCCAACTGTCGACACCTATCCACGAAGTTTAACATAAAGCAGGCTAGCAAAAAAAGTAAAAGTCAAATGAAAAACAAGTGAGTGATGAAAGAAACGAAATAAAAAGTTGAAATATAATGGCGTTTTGACCCTCCGTTTTGATTTTGACGTCACAAAAAAGTAAGAGTTAAAAGCAAAATGCAAATGCAAACAAAAAACGGAAACGTAACTGAAAGTGTTGATAAACGTGAAACGCCGATTGAAATGCAAATGCAGGTAAAACAAAAATGCAAACACAAATGAAAATGCTAATGAAAACTGAATGGAAAATTAAAATGCAAATAAAAATTAAAATCAAAACAAAAAACACAAAGCAAAATGTAAATGACGAGAGAAAAACGCAAATGCAAATGCAAATAGAAATAAAAGTGGCTGAGCCACCTCGGATTCCGTAGTTGCAACTGCCGTAACGCTTGTCTGTCATCGAATTTTACTTTTACGACTTTTTCTCCCGCTGCTCGTCTAACCGAATGACAGTCTAAATTTTAAAATATCATTTGTTTTTCGTTTTAAGTCATTTCATAGGCTTCCCGACGAAGTTTTTGATTTCAAGGGGTGACCGAATTTGTCACGCAATTTAATGTTACAAATTATGATGTCTGAAAGCTATAAAACCACTCACAATTTCTTTGTTTTGGAAGATGGTCGATCAAACAGCCTATTACAAACTTATAAACTTTTAATATTACAAGAAATATAGGCTTTGAAAAATAGAATCCCTGTTAAGGAATAAGATTGATGCACTAAAAAATAACTTAAATTCGCTGTATCATAAATTCACAATAATAGCTCTTACTGAAACATGGCTTAATAATAATGACTATGATAATTTTGAAATACCAGGATACAAATCAACCAAGTTTCTTAGGCAAAATAAAAAAGGAGGTGAAATCTGTATTTTTTCTAGGAATGACTTAAAATTTAAATTGAGGAATGACTTTGTCTTCGAAGATGACACGGATGACACAGGGAATCTATTTATTGAAATAATTAATGGAAAATTTAAGAATATCATAATTGGCACGATATACCGACCACCAAACAACAGATTTAATAAATTTGAAAATGACCTTAATTAA